TCTTACAATAACTCTCGAAAAACTCAATATTATGAGCTCAAATTTTTACTGAGAACTATCAATGGTCAGATACATATTCAATAAAAATTTCAGTAAGATTGAGTGTTCTGGGAAAAAAACAAATTTAGAGGGATGGGGAGCCCTTAAATTTTATTGTCCATTTTTCCTCAGAAATGCAGAAATAACAATTATTAATGGATATTTTAGAGTATGAATATGTATGTGTAATATCAAACTCTTGTTTAATTAATTTTAACAATTGTCTCGAATGAGTATGAACAACTTTCTACTGGATAAATCATATGACTAATAACAGTAAGAAAAAAAAATTTTTTTCTCGAACATTCCTATTTGATTTAATCTATCATTATGTATTTATAAAAACAAAAGAAAACTAATTTTTGCTGATTGTTAGATTTTCTTATTTTAATTTTCTCATAGCTTACTTTTTTGATGATTATCATTATTATTCAATTTATTTTCTACTGTTATTGAATCATGAATTGTTTGTTGTAAATTTGCTGGTGTAAATGGTGGTAATGTTCTTAATTGTTCATTAAATGACTGATTAGCAACTTTTTTTATTTCTTGTATTAAATTAGGATTATTTGTTAATGTTTGTAAACGTTCAAGTTCAGATGGATTACTAGCTAATCCACGTAAATGTTCAAGTGCTTTTTGTGTATCAGTATTAATATGCATAGGAGTTTTCGTTGGACTTAATGTTGTTAAACATTCATTTGATGATGGTGAAAGTAATTTAAGATTTTTTAAATGTAAATTCATTTGATCAATATGTGTTTGATTATCATGTAAATTTTGTTCTAATCGACGATCAAATTTTGATAATTGTCGATTAAATGTTTTTTTTGTTTTAGGATGATGTTGATTATGATGAAATGGTGGTAATGTAGATTTATTTGATATACGAAGATTATTTGATGATGATTGATTTGATTGATTAGTTGATGTTTAAAAAAAATTTATTGTTTGTGTTGATACTGGTAATTTTAAGTTTGTTT